TATGCAGGCGTGGTAGGGTTTCTTTTGTTTTCTCTCAATGCTGGGAATGTTCATTAGGTATACAACAGCCTCACCTGCCCACCTCATAATGAAGTAAAGATCTATGGGAATAACACATATGAAGTATCAGGGTTTACACAAGACTTTAACAAAGGAGACCAGAGGGCACATAAAGTCATTTAAACCAATGTCCAAAGTGAATCTAGAAAGAAATGTTTCCAAAGGAGTATCTCTCCAGTCCTGGGTAAAGTATGAACCACATATGATACTGCTTATGGGAATCAGAAATCAAAAGGGTCAGAAAAAGAAAGAAAGGAAAAAAAAAAAAAAAAAAAAAGAGGGGCCAGAAAGTTTGTGATGTGCATTTTGCCATTTTTAAGGGCAGGTGAGGAGTGGGGGCTAGGGGCTGTAAAAGAAGTTACTCGGGTATTAAAACGCTAATTTTACCCAAATAGTCCACAAGGCAGAAGCCATAAAGAAGTGATCATTCATCTGCATACTGCAAGAGAGAAAGAAACGGGACCTCCCACCGCCTCTTTGCATTATATAATTTATAAAATGAACATATCCTTTTACTTCTGTTGATAAGCTTACTGTAAAACACAACACTACAGAAGTACATAGAATGGGAAGTAAAATGTATCTTTATTCCACCCCAATCTTCAATAAGTATTATTAAAGTTTGGTGCCAATGCACTGTTTCAGAGTTTCTAAAGACAGCTAACATGAATGCAAAAGCAAAATGGGAGTAAAAAAGTTAGAAGTCTCCCTTTATCCCCTCCCCTTTCTAATCCTTTCCCCATAGGTCAATATTTAAAATATTATGACGTACAGTTTTTCAGATAACTATATAGGACTATGACATATACATATAGGTATCCATATACACCTGTTTTAATTTTTATTTTAAAAACATAAATATTATGCACACTTTCTCTTACCAGGTCTCTTTATAACAAAACCTTTTTTGCACACAGAACTGGGGTGTAGGCCAGAGGTGGGGGGAGGGTGATGAGTATGGGAAAGGATTCACTGGAGACAGAGTGGGGAGCATAATAAAGTCAGATTGACTGAAATACACTAGTAAGGGGAGCAGCAGGAGAGAGAGGAGAGGCCTGCTGCACCACAAGGGGGTAAATTCCCTGGCCAGGGATCAAACTCAGGCCATAGTGGTGACAGCACTGAGACTTACTCCCTACACCCTCAAGGAATATATTTTTTAAAGGAACACTTCCCACCCCACCCCTACTCAAAAAGGTGGAGCTAATACAGTATTTTGTATCATTTCTCTACTAACATTATGTTAATATATACAGCACTACTTCATACTTTTGTAGCTGCTTATAATTTCACAGAATGAGTTGTCCTGCGATTTAACTAGTTCCTTATTAAAGATAATGTTGCAATATAGATCCTTGATACAAATACATTTGCCAACTTGCTGTCTCCAGAGATCAATTCCTAGTAGATTTTTCTAAGTCAACTGGCACATTCACAGTTAAGATTTTGAAACACATTACCAAATAGGTCTTCAAAATGATTTTACCAATTATATTCCCAACTTAATGAAATTAACAATTTTTTTTTTGACCATTTGAGAATTTTCTTTTATGATTTCTAAGTGAGCTTGTTGATATGATCTGCCCACTATTTTTTTTGGGAGATTTTTACAGATCTGCAAAAGCTCTTTATATAGTATTACTATATAGTAAAGAAAAATGTCATACACAAAACTTATATATATATATTTATATATATATATGTAAAACAGTTCATTTTTACATCATTTTGTGCATGTTTCCATCTCAGTTGCAATCCCCTTAGGGTTCCCATCACCAAATCACCCATGTGCCATCACCACAGTCACAAAACTTTTTATTTCCACTTTGAAAATTACTTATAACTTTGTTTTCAATTTTTCCCAAGATAACTTTTACATAGTAAGATCTTTAATATTTTCCCATAAAATTGCTGACCTTGGTGTCATACTTACAAACTAATTCTTTACTGCAAAACTGTATTAAAAACAAAAACAAAACCTTATGCATAAATGCACACATGAATGACATCTGTGGAACAAACACTTAAGGAAAGGAGCGTGTGTTGATAACCAATATTCTAACAATTAGAAAAGCTTATCATTCCTCAGTGAACTCAAAATAGTTTAGAGTGCTAAATTATTTTCATTCATGGAATGGCCTACACACAAACAAAATAGAACTGCAAGAGACTCCTTCTTCCTTAAAATAAATTAAGAATACTTATTGGCCTTGGCAATTTTAATAACAGAGGCAGAAAGAGTAACACCCAGTTACTCTACCTGGACTTGCTATCAGATTATAGATTAAGAACAGACATGCGGACGTCTCCTTGGATAACCCTAGGAAACACAATGGGAATGGCATCTGCTCTGGCTTAGTTCTCCACCACAACCCTTTTATTAAATTCCTAGTTATGTGGCTAAGCCACTTGGAGAGCAATACTGATAATTACCAATCAGTTCATAAGGAAAATCCTTTCCCTGCATAATACTGGATGCCATAAGGACTGATAGCCAGCAAACATATCCCCAAACTCCCTCCCTTTCCTGCTCTACCAATTTCCTGCTTTGCCCATTATTTTTATGTATCAGAGTTCTGTGATGTAAGTACAAGATATTTGGTGGAGGGGATGTGAAGAAGCTTTACATTTTTTGACAAAACAGGTATGGTTCAGACCACTACTCTCTTCTTCTTGCCAGCCTCAATTACATGTTTGATGGCTGACACTGTAGAAGTCATCTTGGAGACCACAAGGAAAAAGAGATGTCACTGAAAAGGGAAAAATATTGCTAGTAATTGCTTGCTACCCCGAGAATTATTCTGTCACAGAAAAACCACCCATTTGGGCCCTCCCTGATAGCGCAGCGGGTTAAAACACAGCACTAAGAAGCTAAAGCCACTTTGGCATGAGTTTGATACCTGCCCAGGAGGTGATCCACATGGCGTGGCAGACCTCTCCTGACCTGTCCGCTGCTCCCCTCAGCAGTGTACTTGTCAGTCGGCCTGTTCTGTACCCCACTCTGTCTCTGGTGAATCTTCTCACCACCCCTGCACCTCTGGCCTATACCCCAGCTCTGTAAATTATTAAATAAATCTTAAAAACAAACAAAAAAAAATCACCCATTTGTTTCTGTAATCAAGTTTTATATTGGACCAAGTCCAATATAATCCTATATAATACAGTCTTTCTGTCTAGCATATAGCAGACCTTTAAAATTATGAGTGAATAAATAAGATTCTGGAAAGCTAAATATATCTAGGATATTAGGTGATTCAAGAAAAACCTCAACAAAGAATGACAAAAAAGTTTCTAAACAATCTACCAGTACTATATTCAAAAGATGCTACATTTTGCTTTATGTCTGGGGTGATATTAACTTAATGGATTTGGTTTAATCTTTAAACATCTAGTTTTGCCTTCTTCTTCTTGATGTAATTTTCATGTGATCCTGAGAGAGAATCTGATGTACTTATTTTATTCGGTAATTTTTAAAGACAGAATAGGTTCATAAATCAATGAAAAGGTCAGCCATACATAGGCATTCACTTGCGAAGCATAGGAGAACAATTAGGTCACAAAATTCTAAGTATAAACACATTCAAAACCATCCCTAAATTGAATTGTACTCAAAGTACTGAACAAAGCAACTAAAAAATGATAATAGTATTCACTTAGTACGTTTTACGCAAGGGAAGGAAACCTGAGGATTTAATAGCAAACTAAATACCTTCAAATAAAAAGGTTAAACAGTTCTGAGAGATAAAGTTGCAAGATCCATGTATACCAACGTTGTGACCAATAATAAAGATCTGGCTAATAAAGATTCACATTAAAAAAAAATTACATTAGCTTATTTACAACAATGAGAAGTAAAAATACTTTAAATATCAACTAGTGAATGACTAAGCATTCAAAAATATCAGTCATCTTAAATTCTTGAATAATTTTAATGACATGAAAATGCTCATATTACACAAAATCTTTGAAGAAAAAATTTACATTAGCAGAATGTAATTTTAATTATATCTAAGAAGAAAAACAAAGACATATTGAAGGGGAACTCAAAGAAAGGAAATATTAAAAGGTGATATAAGTGGTCCTCTCCCCAGAATGCACACGTGTACACACATTACTTCCCAGCTCTGTCCACCACCAGTAGCTACAAACAATGATGCCAGTACAGTAAGCACCCCAAACATCCCATCTTGGTTTCTAAATACCATACCCTACTAAAAAAGAATCAGGGCTCCTTGAAGAAAGAGTGACTACAGGGTTGCTACATGAAAAGTGTAAGATGAGCCTAGAACACCTTGTTGTGGCAAAAAGATAGGCAGCACTCAAAGTACAGCTTAGTTATAACACAACTGAAGCAGCTTCCAGTAACCTGGCAACTTTAAACAATAGTGAAAAATTATAATTCACTGTCAGAAGAGGAAACCCTGAGTCTTTACCAATATGTATTCATAAATGAACAGCAAATAAAGATGAAGGCAAAGTTCTTCAGAGTAGCAGAATGCGACCCTGAAATTTTCTTTAAAAATGGTTATTGCTGAATGGTAATGAGCATAACTTTTCTTCCTGTGTACATTTCTACTTTTCCCATTTGAAGGAGAGCACATGCACAGAAACCCTAAACACTTACGGCAAGTGCTGTGCTACCTGGACCTGTCGGTCCTGAAGACAAGCTCAGATGTCCCAGACAGGTGGCTAACGAGCAAAACAAAACAAACAGCAAAACAAACAATATGTCACCAGATCCAGCACTGAGATTTATGGAAATTTTGTTTTGGTTTTACAGCAATTATGGGAGTGAAGGGATGTGACAAGGAGCCTTGCAATGATGTCAATGACAAATGGTTAACTGATAAGAAGAAACAGAGAGGGCGACAGGCTGTAGAACAGGTCAATACCAGGCTGTCATGGAGCCATTTGAGACTTATAATTAATCTATTACTCACCTGGCATCATCATTCATTGTAGTATGGTCAATAGGTGCCATGAAGCTCAGTAGCTTGCTAAGGACATGAAACCTAAACAGAGCAGGAAACAGACAGTGACATTAGCAACCATTAACCTGGAAAAGGAAACACGTTCTATGAGTTAACCAACTCCAGAACTGGCCACACAAAGTTTGGCTCCAGAGTGACAATTCAGACACCACTCACAACATTTCCCCCTTCTTTCCTTAGTGCTACAGGAAGGAGAAATTCTGGTAACAGCATACTGTAAATGACAGTGAGCCATTTATATTCACAGCACCCCTCCCCCATCAAAAATGTATAGATACACTTATGCCCTTGAGCAACAGTTAACCCTTAAACATTTTTCCAGGCAAGAGACTATGAGAACACGACAATCCATTTTCTTTCTTTTTTCACAGCTGCCTGTTGATTTTAGTTTCACTTGTTTTACAGAGGTTTAGTTCCACTTGTTTTACAGAGTTCCTGTTATGTATTCACACAGTTTTTTTGGCTTTTTTTTTTTCATTTAATACTGTCCCATAAACAGTATCTGAACATCTGCATATAATTCTAGCAGTGGAAGTACTATATATTTTCTCATTTTTGAACACTCATATAGTTCCAATTCTTCAGTTTTTATAAGATGCAAAAATTAAAACCTCTGTGTACCACACTTGTTTTTAATGCTTGTTATTTCCTAATTATAAAAAATATAATAATTCTTATAAAAAGAACTCCAATATAGAAATTATGGTGAACTGACAAGTTGCTTATAGTCATATCCCCAGAAATAAGCATTGTTAATTGAAACTGTAAAGTTTGGCTGTAGTATTTTATATATTTAAAACAAAAACAATATATTTTCACATATAATGAGATTGTAATATACTTGATATTCTGCATTATACTTTTTCCCACTGAACTATATATATTTTTTCTTTTTTCATTGTAGAATATCCCATTGTGTCACTATAACTTCCTATTGATGGATATTTATGTAGTCTGCTCCTTTTTAAAAATCACATCAAATAATGTAAAGATTTTTAGTGGATATGGGCAGCTACTGCAAAGCACACATACTAGTAATACATGCATTTAAAAAAATGCCTTCAGGCTTCACCAAACTTTGGAATTCATCTAAAATAATGTATATTAATCTTGGATCTAGCCAAAGACAGTTTCTTTTCTTTTTTTTTAAAGATTTATTTATTTATGTATACATATAGAACTGGAGCGCATGGGCAGTGAGAGGATTCACCAGAGACAGAGTGGGGAACAGAACTGATAGATTGATGAAGTACACTGCTGAGGGGAGCGGCAGGTGAGAGAGGAGAGGTCTCCTGTGCCATGTGGGTCACCTCCAGGGCAGGGGATTGAACTCATACTGAAGTATCTGTGTCTAGCTTGCAGTGTTGCACTTTAACCCACTGGGCCAGCAGAGAGGGCCCCAAAGAAAGGTTTCATTCACTTCCCGGCCAATACATACTCCATAGTAGTGTTGGACAATACAGTAGCCACCATTCACATGTAGCTACTGAGCACTTAAAAATGCAGCTAGTCTGAACTGAGAAGTGCTGTAATTTAAACAAATAAGATTTTGAAGACTTGGGTAAAAAAAGAGCTGGAGTACAGGCCAGAACTGTATGTGGGGGTGGGGTGGAGAGAAGGGTGAGAGGATTCACCAGAGACAAGAGTGGGAGCGGTCACCAGAGACAAGAGTGGGGAGCGGTCACCAGAGACAAGAGTGGGGAGCAGAACAGGCAGATCTACTGAAATATACTGCTGAGGGGAGCAGCAGGAGAGAAGAGAGCAGTCTGCTGTGCCAGGAAGCGGGCTAGCTTCCTGGCCAGGGATCGAAATTAGGGTGCAGTGTGAGACTTAACCATTAGGTCACCAGGGAGGTCCTCAATAATAATTTTTAAAATAGGCGGTTAAAATAGCATTCTTGATATGTGGGATTAAGTGAGTTATTGTGTTTACCTGTTTTCTTTTTTGCCTTTTTAAATGTGTCTACTAAAACTTTTAAAATTATATATGTAACTGATATTTTTATTGGGTAGAATAAAATTCTAAAATTTTATTGGGTAGAATACCGTCACACTCTAGTACAATCTATTCAATAACTATTAACTGCTGGAAGAAAAAGACAGCTTTAGGAAGTAATCAGATTAAAGATTTAGTAACATATACTAATGCAATACATTTCAGCTACCGGAGCTGCTGAGGATGATGCATGTTTTAGAATTATAAAACTTTTACCAATCATATCAAGAAAAGATAAACTTAATTTTGTTGCAGAAGAATAGACAAACACAGTAAGACATCTCATTATAAAAGGCTTGAGAGTAATCCGTTTACATATCTACATTCTGATTAAATCTGGAAAATCCACATATATATAGTGCTGAGCAAAATACGGAAGATCAACAATTACAATTAGTTTCAGAAATCAAAATATTTCTTTTTTTTGCCTACACAGGTCATCTGATTCTACCCAGAGAAAACACCCCAATAGCCATGGGTTAGAAGAATGGGCTGTGGACTCAGCTCAATTACAGCAAATCCCAGTTTGCTCCTTATTAGCTCCAAAATGCTACATGAGTTATTTATCTTCTCTAAGCACTATAAAAGAATTGGTTAAGTTAAACTGCGTCACAACTCTGAAATTTCATTCTTACTTCTATTCCTCACATGAGAAAACTGATGAAGCGCCAAGTGTCAAGTAACTAGCCCAAGGTCTCAAGACCAGTAAGTGGAAGAAGCAGATTTCAAACTTGGCCAGTTCAGTACTCGATTTTTTTTCTCCCTCTACATGTCAATTTCATAGCAGCACCTGACAGGGGTTTGTCACTGTTAGTTACCACTGCTCTTATTAACAGAGTACCCTTGTGGCTCTGATCATATCCGTCATATTTAAGATCACAAGGAGAGTCAGATGAACATGGATGACAAAGCTGAGAATTCAATACATGTGACCATATTTACTACCATTCTCCCCACACTTTTATTTTGTAGTAATTTTAGACTTATGTCAAAAGTCACAAAAACAGAAGATTTGTACAACTTCACCGAGCTTCCCCAAATGTTAACTTATATAGATACAGAGTACTTATCAAGTCAGGAAATTAACATTGGTAAAATGCTATCAAATAGATGATTAACAAACTTACTCAAATTTCACCACTTTTACCACCTTGTATCCTATCTCTTTGCCAGGACCCAGTCTAGGATCCACACAATATCTAGTGGTGACGCCCCAGCAGTCTTCTGCCATTTGTGACAGTTCCTCAGTCCTCCTTGTTTATTCACTACCCTGACAATTTTGATTAGTACCAATCAGCTCTTGCATGGTGTTTTATGACAGCAGTGATGGTAGGTATTTCAGGCAATACCACAGAAATGCTGTATTCTCCAGTACAGGGAGTGTGTAGCTATGTATTAACACTGGAATTGTTAATCTTAAACACTTGGCTAAGGAAGCATAGACTTCAAAGTGTATATGCTTGGTTTCTCTGTAAAGTTATTATTTTCTACTTTGTAAATGACAAGTATCTTGGAAGAAATGCTTTCAGACCATGCAAATATACCATTTCTTCTCAAAGTTTTGCCCACTGGTTTGAGCATCCATTGGTGGATCCTGCCTGCAAAAATTATTAGTGTGGTATTTGTCTAGTGGTGATTTTGTATTTCCCCCATTCTTTCTATATTTAATAAATGGAATTGCATATGACCTTTTTGATGGCATATCAACTGAATTCCAAAGAGATTTTGTAAGACAAATCAAAGACATTAAAGTTTATGCAGAAATTCAAAAGGACTTTCAAGTAAGGCAAGTCCCTTAATTTGTGGCTTCTGGATTTCTAGAGTTATCAGCAGCAGTAACTGGTGGTGAAATGTGATGATAAATGTGCCTGTTTTCTCTTCACCATGGAGCACTTCTGGCCACGTATTAAGTTAGACATCTTTTGTCTTCACTGCCTCACCTCCTGGTTCTGTTCTCCCCAGCTCAGTGCCTGCTCTCCCTCAGCACTTCCTATGGATTCCTCTCCTGTCTCATGTAGGTAGACATTCCCTGCCAGCACAGAAGGTCTTCCCAGGCAGTCGCATTCCCCAAGCGTGAATCAGGTAACCCCTATGGCAGGATGAGCTCTCCTGCAGCACCATCCACACAGTGTCACTGTCTCCTAGGTATCTGCTGTACTACCAGACAACAAGGTACCCAGGGCAGAGGGGTCTCATGCAGTACCTCATGTGGTTCTGAGAGCTCCAGAAGAACCCTTCTTACATTTTAACAAACCTCTTCTTATATGTTAATGTTAAGCACTGCTTAAATCAAAAGTCTCTCTCCTGTTGATGGGTCTTTCAGATGAAGTTTCAAATGTCCCTAGTTTTATGGGGACGTAAGCACTCTATTCTCTCAAAAATGCTACAAAAACAGAAGTGCATATTTGCAATGACATACAGCTCTAACAGTTTGATGAGATTAGTTTAATCAATTAATATAAGAAAAACAGTTGCTTTTAAAATAAAATCCTGTTTTTTAAAATGGCAAAGCACCAGTAAAAATAAATTCTAGACTGTGAAAAACACTGGTTACCAGAGGGGAGGATATGAGGGAGGACACCAGAGGGCAGGAGAGAGGACAGGGAGCTGAAACTGGTGCTTTGGTAGAGGGTGAGGGAAGCAGGTGGAGGTACAAAGTGTATTCCACAATCTATAGTTATATGGATGACTGGCAAGCAATAAAATTTGGGGAAAAAACAAAGCAAATCAAAGTCCTGCTTTTCCCCAATCTGATAAATAACAAATGATAAATTTATTCTGATTGGGAAAACTAGAGACTCATGATCTCCAAATTATTTACCACACTAAAAAAGTATTTCTCTAAGCCAGAAAGAAAAGGAAAAATACCGGGTGGTTTCACTCAT